GACATCCAGCTGTAGGGCATTTTCTCAATTAGTGATCACGGGGAGGGCCCAGCCCATTCTGGGTGGTTCTGGCCCTGGGCTGGTGGTCCTGAGTTCTATGAGGAAGCAGGCTGAGCAAGCCATGAGGAGCAAAGAGTAAACAGCACCCCCATGACCTCTGCATCAGCTTCTGTCCAGGCCCCTGCCCTGTGTGAGATCCTGTCCTGACTTCCTTCAGTGATGAACAGTGATGTGGAAGTGTAAGCTCAACAAACCCTTTCCTCCCCATCTGGTTTCTGGTCCTGGTGTTTTGTTGCAATAGAAACCCTGACTGAGACCTGAGCCAACTCAAGTAGCCATCAGATGCCATTCTGCTTTACCTTCTTTGCTGCGGCAAACACTGTGACCAAAAGCATCGTGGAGTGGAAAGGGTTTGACTTTCAGGCTACAGCCCGCCCTTGGAGTTGGAGGCAGAAACTGAAGCCGGGACCATGAGACATGCTCACGGGCTGGCTCTCACTGGCTTCCTCTGTGAGCTTCTTTCTGTCCACCTCAGGTGCCCCTGCCTAAGGGTGAGGCGTCCACAGTGAGCTGGGCCATCTGACATCAATCTGTGCAGCACCCACTGCTCTGGTCCTAGAACCCTGGCTGGGGCAGTGAGGGGATGAAGAAAGGACAGACACACACGCGATGAAGCTGGGATATGGGGGTTTCTCTAATGCTGCTGACACCTCCACAACCTGGAACCCCAACGTTTATAGGTACAGTGGAGGACAGGGTTGGCTAGTCTGGGTACAAGGTCTCTACAGGTGAGCAGTCTCAGGCTATGAACATCCAGGAGCAGGAAGCCACAGTTGGTAATCTTAGCACACGGTTGGCCCATAGTTCATAGACTCTCATGCTTGGCTCCCAAGAAGAGCATTGCCATCTCTGGAGCCAGGCCTGTGCTGGTAATGGACTTGACTATGTCCCATGGGCCATTTGTTCATGGAATCCTCAGAAGGCCATGGCCATGTCGAACACACATTCACTCACTCAGGACTTCCTCTGATCCCTACAAATCAGCAATCAAGAAAATGCCCACAAACACACCCTCAGGCCAATCTGATGGAGGCAGTTCCTCAGATGAGGCTCACTCTGCCCAGGTTAGACACCACAGGAAGCAAAGCTCCATGTGCAGTTGGATATGTGCTGTCAGCAATAATACCCAGGGCAGACACCGTCTGGATTGTCTTTTAGACTTTTATGTGTATGCATGTTTTGTTTGTCTGTGCTCGTGTGCAGAGCCCGTGGTGGCCTAAAGAGGGCGACAGACCCCTGGAACTGCAGTCACGGATGTGAGCTGCCATGTAGGTGCTGAGAACCAAACTCACATCCTCAATAACAGCAGCTGGTGCACTTGACAATTGAACCACATCTCCAGCCCCACCATCTGCTTCTGGTTGAGGTAGATTAGGGGCTCATTACCTCCCACTGCGGCCTCTACCTGCAAGACCCTTTTCTAGAGGAGGGTGGAAGAGGGGCAGCTATGTTGGTGTTCTGGAAGAGCTAAGGGGTCCCGTTGGACAGGATTTGAATCTTCAGCACTCTGGTGAGACATCCACCTCTCACCCCTTAGCGTGTTTGCGGGGACTTTACTGGGCAGCTAGACCACAGTGGTGTCCTAGTCAGGGTTTCTATTGCTGTGATGAAACACCATGACCAAAGATACTTGGGGAGGAAAAGGTTTGTTCATCACTGGACAGGAAGTCAGGACAGGAAGTCACATGAGAACAGGAACCTGGGGGCAGGAGCTGATGCAGAGGCCATGGAGGTGCTGCTTTATGGCTTGCTCATCCTGGTTTGTTCAGCCTGTTTTTATTTTCCACCCTCTGGTTGTCCTTAACCGCACTCTATAGTCCAGGCTGGCCTTGAACTGAGATCCACTGGCCTCTGCCTCACAAGTGCTGGGATTAAAGGGGTGTGCCACTATGCCCAGCTCTCAGCCTGGTTTTTTGTAGAGCCCAGGGATGACACCACCCACAATGGACTCTGCCCACCCTCATCAAATAAGATAATGCCAGTAGGCAGTAGTGGTGCTCACCGTTAACCCCAGCTCCTGGAAAGCAGAGGCAGGTGGATCTGAGTTTGAGGCCATCCTGGTCTACAAAGATAGTTCTAAGATAGCCAGGGTTACACAAAAACTCTCTCAAAACCAAAAAAAAAAAAAAAAAAAAAAAAA